TTTTTTCAAGAACAATGCCAATGGTGGACAGGATGGATATTGGACGGGTTATTTTTATTGCCATTTTTAAAAATTGGAATTATTCTGGCTATCTTTAATGAGGAAGGGAAAATGCCTAAACTAAATGATAAATTAAAGAAATTACTTAGAGCTGGGGATACAATACTATAGTTACAACAATACTAGTTATCATTAAATTTAATTAACCCAATTCCAAATAAACAGTGTTGCAAGTCATATAAAAAACCTGTTTCGGTTTCAAAAAAAAATATGTACTGTCGCGGACCATACTGTCCGCGTTTATATTGTGTGTGTATATATATTCTTATGTTTATAGACTGTAATGTTGACCCCAATTTACGGCTGTTTTGTCGGATTTGGACTCCGACCACTCACTGCATGTGAGGCAAAAACTGGCTTTCGGTCTCTCTTTCTCCGGCTGCCGCGTTGGCGGGCGGATGTGTTTTCAGTTTTCTAGTGATGTTTTGTTTAATCTGTTTGAGTTATATAATCTGTTTGGCTGGTATTTGCCGTACAATAAACAACCAATCCGGAACCTTTGAGTCTTCTGATTCATTCTACAACCACGGTAGCAACATCTTGGTCCGTGACAGTACTACAAAAACATAAAAAGATCTATCTGAAGCAATTGTAGCAACAACATTAAAACCTCAAACGATCTTCGATATCTACTATGATGTAATATAATGAACTATTTGTACTCTCTTGTTTTGTTTATTTTTATTAAATTTAGTAACTTCATATTTAGATATATTTTTGGGATGTTTTGTTTTTCAATCTAAATATTTTTAGATGTTTTTCAAGGTCAATCGGTATGTTTTTATTCAAACAAACATGGCAGCCCTGTGCGTCGGTTTGCTAGTGTTAAGATAGTATGCAAATGCTCGTCCGTTAGTCGTGTGCGGAGGACTGATTTGCACTTTATTGCTGTTATGAGCTACATGTATCAACTTTATTCAAGTTGCATCCCGTTCAGGTATTCACAGATGGAGGCCTACGGTACATCGTACATGTGCACATTATTTTTACTAAATCACCGAACGCATCTGAAAACAGTTTTTCTATAAATCTGGCAATGAAATACCACTACATTGCGTTTTATACACAAGAAACATTGCAGGTCAGGCCTGGACGCGTTAACGTTCAGAGTAATAAATCGCAGGCGTCACCTCTTTTTGCATCGGCGAATGCGGAAGTCGCAACAGGTCAAAGGTTATGAATGTCCTTGATTAACTTTGCGAAACCCCTTTTCGAACACAATGATCTGACCAAAACTCGTTTATTTTGTTATAATAAAAATACGAAATGAGATCGTTTATTTTGTCATAATAAATATACGAAATGAGATCATTGAATTTACAAGTTAATTATAACAATAGAATAATATTTGAACGTGGTAAAGTGGAATAACAGGGGAAGATTTTTGTTTCATTTCTACAGTTTGTCGGACTGGAATCTTGATGTTAAATAACACGATAAAACTTACTCATAGTTGACATGATGGTACTATTTTAGTTTTTGTGGAAAAATCTCAACCATGTCGCGGGCCTAAAAAATTGCCTTGCAGGCGGCCCGCGTGTTCTGTTCTCTCTTTTTTTTATTAAAAACAATTCTTTGAATTTTCTATTGAACTATTCTAAACTTTCAATATGAGTGTTTCTGTTCCCATTGAGACAGATTGGGCAACAGTATAGGGTGTGGTTGAGTTATAATGATTGAAACATTGCTGGTAAAGCCGACTGAATAACACAGTGGCAACTGCCAAGTTAGTTTTACCAATGACATGCGCAAATTGTGATTTCCAAAACAGATTTTAACTCCTGAAAATTTCATTTCAATTTCTTTGTCATTGGGCAGTAAAGGTTTTGAGCAACCCCCTTTTTTATGTTTTACTGCATGGAATAATACAAAATTGGTCTTGTCATTAAGAAATAATTTATTAACCAACAACCAGCTATGAATGTCGGCCAGTTCCCAGTTTGCAACTGTGAATAGTTGCTCCAAGTTTGTCCCAAAGAAATCGATTCAGTATCGTCTAGACTCTAGAGCAGCGTTTCCCAAACTGTGTTCCGCGAGCGTCTTTCGAGTGTTCCGTGGAGAAGGAATCAAAAATATCGCCATTGCGATCTAGGGATCGTGAAGTTGTCGCCAAACTGACCGTTCAATATCGCGTTATCGTCGGCCTAAAGCGGACTAACTGAGGTAGAGTAGTGGCATTTTTGTGACCGTCGGTGTAGCTTTTTGACTGTTAAGTTTACATAGACTTACCATACGTCCCGTTTTAGGCGGGACAGTCCCACTTTTTAACGTTTTGTCCCAGCGTCCCGACTGGTCAGCCAAAAGTCCCGCTTTGGCGTTCACCCAGTCAGCATGATACATGAACATTACCAATTAGCATGTTCTCGATACTGTTGTTGCTGTGTGGCGTACCGGTGGTAGCATACTTACTGAAGGTGGATGCGTGGTTTTGTTTGTTTCGTTGTTTTTCGCTAACATTATTAGCGGTTAATTGCTACAATTTGTTACTTGTGAGCCCCAGACGCCAAAAGGGCGCTTAACGTAAAGTCCTTTCTATTTATTGAATCGAAACCGATTTTTATACAGACACCGCATGCACTCTCGATGACAATATAGTCAATGAAGACAGCCGGGATGGTTTTAAATGTGTGCCTAATGTAAAATCGGTAAATTTGAAGTTGAAAAAACACAGCTATGGCCTTTGGAGGCGTCCCGCTTTGAGGTCACAAAAATATGGTAACCCCAAGTTTACAGCAATCCTTTTGGTTTTGTTATAAGCAAACAAGTAGGTCTAAAGAATAAAGGCGAAAGGTCAACTCTTCTTCCTCCGTCTCTGCCTGGTTTTACTATGAAATGCTGAAAAATTACTCATGTTCGCTAAATTCAATTCAGCAGATAAATAAACTGCAGCTCGCGAAATTGCAGCAAGTACTTTTATCTCCATTAGAGGTAACATTGGAGGCAAACACTACGTGATGGAAAGTAAACGACATAGACAGGTAAAAAATTGTGAATTGGTGAATTTATTGATTCATATACACAGCATTTAAATTAGAAAACAATAGAAAATTTATAATAAATGCAATATGTAAAATATTCAATCATATTTCAGGTGTGTTTAACCGTAGTAGTATATATTTACGGTTTAACACAATTCTGTTAGTTTTCGCGGCGCATTTGGCAACTCGTCACGGCGAACCCATTGGGAACCGCTACATTACACCGTTTTTCTTTATCAATTTTAACTTTCCATTTTTTGGTGTTCCGGGAGGCGAGATAAAAAGTCTAAGTGTTCCGTGGCCGAAAAAGTTTGGGAAACGCTGGTCTAGAGTCTAGACCAGTGTTTCCCAACCCGAGTCCGCGGTCTCAAATGAGTCCGCGGAGCGTTTGAATGAGTCCGCAACGAGCAAGAAATTCGTGCAAGCCGCAAACGATTTTGCGGAACTTAACTATCAGCCAATTTACATAAAACATAAAAAGCAAGTTCATTCTCATAACATTAATCGAGTCAATAATTACTGGTTACTGAGTAGGGCTGGGCATATATTCGAATATTCAACTATTAGAATAGCAATTTAATATTCTAAAATTTGGTAATAGGTGACGCGGTCACTTGTACGCGTCGCTTAATTAAACGTTTGGATTTCACAACTCACTCACGAATTTTCGACGAAAACACACAAGTCGGCACACGCGTCGATAGATGGTGGCAACCCGAATTTTCCAAATTGAAAAACGGCAATACAAAACACTAAAAATAAAACGGAGAACACCATAAGTTTCGTTTTATGATGGTCCGCGACCGATTAAAAACGCTTTTTTATACATTGCAAAACGCAAAATTTCGGGCGCTACCGTAGTATACGTATACCAGGGCATCCTCGCTTAGGATTGTTTCCTTTACTGCCTCAACATTGATACGCCGTACAGTACTGGTAAGTGTTGTATACGAACAGCTCAGATTTGTGGAATTCACAAAAATAGGAATCCAAACAAAATATAATCGGGCCCTTCACCACGCAATTTTGTGTCCACGAATTGTCATGATATTTTCTGAGTAGTATTGCTTTTATTTCGCCAACACAATCGCAGATTAAAATGATCACAATTGAATTAATAATAAAGCAAGGCGATGAATATTCATTTTTCATTTACTAATATATTTTAAATATATTTTTATTAAGTACTGAATCAAGTTGTACTTTCTGGAAATTTATAACAGATAGTGAGATTTTTCTAACGACGATAACAAATTTGCAAGATCGCAAAAATATGTAACAAAACTAAATATAATCGGGCAATATAGTCTCACATTATTATGTTCACAGATTGCCGATTGGCATTTTAAAGAAGAAATGCTTTCACCTTGTCGTAAGTCGACGCAACCGCGAGTTACCATAAACACAATTAAATTAATATAGAAAGACATTGGATTGAAGATTGTGCGACGGAAAGCCAATTATAAACTAAAAACGTCGGCTTTTTTTAAGGAACACGTAATTGCGGCGAATTTCCGATTTTGAAATTCGTTACAATTCTGCTGTATTTGATTTACTTGCTTAATCGCATAGAGTACGGTTGCAATAAACGCACTTTGAGTCCGCAAAGGTTTTCGCGGATGAGAAAATAGTCCGCGACCAAAAAAGGTTGGGAAACGCTGGTCTAGACCCACATGCCTAAAATAATGGGCCAAGTATGAATCCTCGAGGTGCTCCGTGCTTCATGACACACAAATATTTATGTCAAGCAAACCTCGTATCACTCGGCACTCGTTTTACATGATATTTACTTGCAATTTTTATACTATACTGCATTAGAATTCAATCGAAGGACAGGCATCGGTCATATTTTTACCAATTAGTTTAGTAATTGTTCTTGTGAGGAACAAATTTCGAAATATAATAATTAGATTTCGTTTGGGGAGACCTGCATAAAGATTCATTCATTTATTATACTATGATTTGCCATATATATATGTTTTTATTATTTATCAGTCGTTTGTACAGTACAGTTTTGAACGCCAGGAGTGAACCTCGATTTAGACCAATTAGAGCCATCTAATTTCATATATTGGATTATTAACATGTATGAAGTAAATGTATTTATCACAACAAATGATATTATAAAAAAACGAAAGTGTTTTCATGTGTATATACATATGTGTAAAATATAGATATTAATTTACAGAACAGATATCATGATTGTAATTCAATAGGGGGATTCCTAAGGAGGGGGATTAATATGATATACAAGAAATAACTTTAGGTAATTGTAGCGAAATGCGAAATAAATTGCAAACAAAGAAATATTCAATAATATCTAAAATTGTGATTAGTAATAACAATTAACAATAAGTATTTTATATACAAGCCTATTTAGCAGAGAGAATTTATGAAGAATACTCAAGGGCTTGTCTAAAATTGAAATACTAAACTCTAGTAGTTTAATCGGTTGAATTAATGTCAGCGTAGCTGCATCCATCATGATTGCGGCTCGCTTTTTCAGACTTCAGAATCAAAGCCAATGTCAAGTTTACGTTAAATCAGTTTTTAGCCCGAGTTTTGTTGATTATGTTATTTTAAAATGCATACTTGAGTTTTGTTTTGTTGCTATTTTAATTAGCGTTGTTTTTATGGGCCTCCTTACAACTTTAAAGTTTAAGATGCGGCTCTGAAAAAGGTTGAGAACCGCTGAATTCTAGCATCTTATCCTAATAAAAAGTCTTAACACAAAGATTAGAAGCAATTTGAAAAAAAAAGTAAAGCAAGATTTCTATATGTTGCAGGATTGACAACAGAGCACCTGAGTATTAAAACTTCAATAAGGATTACCAATAATATATTATTGCCACATTTTTCATATTGAGTTAGGAGGCATCTGAAGGAATTACGTACACAGCGTACCGTCTAGTATTGATTCACTGGCTTCTAATTCACTCGTTTTCAAACCACATTGATATGATTTTCTTTTTTTCCATTTTATCTAAAATATCTAGGATTTGCGGAATATGTTTTGACTGCATCATGAATAAATCTTTTTTCTCTGGATATAGGGATGAGTTATAACAACCTGATACGTAGGATACGCCAAGACGACTCACGACAGCGTCAAATAAAAGCTCTTTTTCAACGAGAGTTAAAGGATTCATAGACTGGTAGCCATTAATAATATGCCTCGTAGATGTAATTATATCGGATGCTGGAGTTGAAACAGACTTAGTCATGTGATAAGCAATGCTGATTCCTAATTCCCCTATTATATATCCATAGTGACAGTGCTCAAAATCAATAATTCCAGTGACGTGCCACAAATTTTCCTGCGCAGATTTCGGACCTGGATTTCGCTTTTTGACAATAACGTTTGATTCACTGAAGTCTCCGTGAATAAAACCTATTATAAATGATTAATCAAAGTTGAATAAGCGTAGTTCAACATACTGTTTCTCGACGAAACAGCAAAGAAATGATGAATAAATATAAGTCTAACTGTTAGAACCATTCAAATTTGTAATAAGTTTTTACTTATTTATCATCCTATGTCATCTATATGTAACTAAGTTAGTTGAAATGCTACGCGCTTTACCTTTTCTTAACTCATGGACACGAGGCAGAAAATTACGTCGAAAAGATTCCATGTGTTTTTCGATAGACCTTTTTACTCTTTTATCCGAAACATAATCAATCTTGCCGCAAATTTGGAAAGCATTCTCTGGTCGAAAGAGGAAATTGGAGCTCATCGAAGAACAGTCAAATTTCAAAGTCTAAAACAACAATCAGATTTATTGGTTTGAAATGGATTTTCCGCCAATTAGGCAATAGGCGGTGCAGTAATACGTAAACGTTCTTTGGTCGTCTATGTCTATGCTATCCTATAGCACAAATGGTTGTTAGATAAATGTGATGTTACCGTATATTGCTATTTCGTAGATTGTCTCTGACTTGCAAGTCACCCGTTCACCCTTCAGCTTCAACGCCCACGTGAATGAAGATGCGTTAAAAATCTCTATATGTTTTTATTCGTAAATTTCCACAACACACAGAATATAAATCTTATAACATTTATCCAGACTAGCTTAGAATGGTTTACATCGTCTTCTCTCCATCGAAAGATATCGAAGTCGTCCTTATACGTCGATCGTACATCTAATTAAAATACTGTAAACGTGAGCTCGTGATTCACGTTATAAACAGAAACTCCTATTATCTCAATAAGGGTAATTATGAACATCGTACGGATGGGAACTTAGATATAATTATTTCAATCAGTGCCAAAGGTCTTGAGAATATAGATTTTAATTTGATAATGACTGGATGGAACCTGTTATGTTCTTAAACCTGGTGTAATTTGATTCCTACGAAAGTCTTTGTTCGAATTTTTGGGAAAATTAACTTTGTTTTCATATTTTTAACATGAAATGGGGTACATTTGGGGGTTAGTTGCTATAATCCTTCTATACTGCTATTCAAATTGTGAATATTATATAACCATAGTATAATATGTGGTCCCATTACATTTGAACCCACGTACATTTGAACCCATGACAATTGCACCTGTATGCTATTGCACCTATGGAATTTTTTTTGTTTCACGGATAGTTAAACCCATACTAACCCTAACCCATGGGTTTTAGCACCCGCATATAGATTGAACCCGTGGATATACGCATGGGTTCAAATGTACATGGGTTCAAATGTACGGTCACCATAATATGTATATATATTTACATTGTGACATGTATACAAATAATAATTCACCGTTCTCCATCACATTATATTGTTTCAATAGTACAGTATCAGGGGCTGAAACTGTTGTATATACGATCAGAAAACTTTGTCAATTTGTCACCATCACCTTGCTCGCTTGGTGAAATCTTGCCATGTGTATCCCAACATTGTAAAATATTTCATTTAGATCTTCTACACTTGCACTGACTGATGTGATTGATTGGCCAGGAAGAAAAGATAGGAGTTGCAGCAGGTAGCAACTATCCTCTAAAAATTAATAGAAGTAATAAAATTTGGCACGCATTGCTTGTTTTCCAAAATGATTTATTGTCGTGGCAAGTGAAGCGGTATCTAATTTTTCAAACATGCCATTTATCCGACGATTTTCACCTAATCAGTTAGTTTAACGAACGATCCATGAACACAATACTTTTATTGCGCCGTACCTTATGGCGTTGTCCAAGCCAATTTGAACTTTGACGTCTAAGCCAATTTGACATATATATATATCATCGGTTACTATAAATAACAACATAATCCACTGAATAAATTTTAAATCATATCCGACCTCCGTGCCCTTTGACAAAAGCATTTCCTTTAATTGTTTTCAAAGGAACTGGGCATCCTACATCATTCATTTTGAGATGCTCCATCAAATGTTGTTGAAGATCTATGTTGTCTAAAGACATAAATATCTTTAAATTATTATTTTTTTCGAAATATATCTAAATATATATGAAGCATTTACTTTAATTAGCTGTTGGTACTCACCAAAGAAACTGTCGCTGTTGGTATTAATGATCTTGACAATATACTTTATTTGATCTGGTTGAATTTTACGTGACAGACGAGTTTTTACCAAATAATTTACATTGAAATAGCTTCCTATATTTGAAATGGATTCCACTTCTAATCCATACAACGAACTGAGGATGCTTATCACGCTCTTTTCCGCGACAAAACAATAATTTGGCGCCATTTCTTTTGTTAATTGTTGGATACAAAGTTTACCTATGGATTGTTTTGTTATTATGTTTTTGTTGTTATTTTTTTTCTTATCGTTGTGAGAAAATCACGTTTCTCTTTGATTACTTAAACAAGTGCTCTGAAATTTTTAGGGGTTGAAAAATGTATTTTAAATTACTGTATATATTATATATTTTAATAAATAGATAATAATAAACGATGAATTCAACAAAATATTACTATTTGGGATGTATTTTCTAAAGTACGGTTGAAATAGGTACAGGGTGGACGCCCGAAACAGCTAAAAACGGCCAAGTGTACAAATTGACTTCCGTACCAACCTTATTCATCCTGCACACCTGGACTAAGAATGATAATATTTGACCAACAATAATTAAAACTCTGCTGCTTCATTTATTTATACTCATTTCCATATATGCCAGGAGTTTTTTTCAAATTTCTTAAGAAGTCACTCAATGCAAAATTGATTCTTGTGACCAAACAAAAAATCGTTAAAAAGCGTTTTCTTCGATATGTATTTTACTCAACCCAGCAGTCTCTGTCTCTATTTGCTGTCTAATTATGGATTATTCTTTTTTCAGACAAATATGTATGTGTGTACTGGTGATTTACCTACACCCTCTCTAAATCTAATATCAAGAAAGTGGTGTAGATACCAGTTCAGATGATGGGTCGAATACATAACACAACTTTATAAGCTACAAATAGTTTTATCGAGATAGCAAAGGTCAGGAGGTAGATGCGTTGTCACAGATTAGATTTTTGTCATCGAAATAAAACATTGACTGGTTGATTGAAACTAATTACCGAAGTTTTTAACTTCACTTGTTCACTATCTGTTTAAACATAACGCTTAATTTCCAGGCAGTTATCTCTTTCGCAGCTCACCGCGGTTACAGGAGAGCGCAATACGTCGAGTTAGAATTCCAGCAATTCTCAGCATCTGATTGTTGCTTATTAGCTATACATCAAGTTAAATTGAATCGCCATTTTTCAAAGCCTAAGCTCAAATAATTTTTCTTTATCGAGTTCAAATATAGCATTCTCCTGCTGAATAAAAAATTAAGCTACCATAAAATGTATACAGGATAGTTATACATATGTTTATACGTAATTACATATGTTTATAAAGTCAATGTGAAACAGTTCACAGAATTTCAGGCTTTCCGACTCTATATCTGCCGTGATAAATAGGGCTAAATTCTCCATCATCAGTCACTCTCATTCCCACTAATAGAATAAATTAATAAAACTACAATGCAATGCATCAGACAGACATTCGACACCCTTTAATGATGATGCGCCATTCAGCTAATAATACTAAATGAATTTAATAGTGTCTCTAAAGCAGAAGCTGCCGTAATTCGCATTTTTATGCAAGCGTGTCCATTTTTACAAGTTCTCTTTCGACATTCAAACCCACCAAATCACGCAATTGCCCCGAGGAATCCCGCTAGATGAAACGATAACATTGGACGTTTGAATCGCCCGAGGTATCAAAACCGCAGTCTAGCGAGGCTACTACAACTTAGATTTTTTTTTTACATTCCGCAGTCCATAAAGTAACAAACTTCCTTTTTTGTTTTCGATGGAAGCGGGGAGTTGCAAAACTGGAGTACATGTACCCTCAGGGGTACATTTCGACTTGAGTTTAAGAATTCTGTAGGAAGTCACATTTTCATACCAGGAGAAGCTTCAAAGCGACAGTATTTAATAGTTAGGATAACTTATTTTGTCCAATCGAATGCTACGAGAACCGCAGTTACAAGAGTTATAAATCAAATGCAATCGTCCTGGCATATCAAACAACATTCACACCTGTTCGCCATTTTGAAAATAAAATCTACAGAGTAATTCGATTACGACTTTTCCGAGTAAATGTTACTAAACGTGTAGCGTACAGGCTGTGTAGCGAATTCTAGGGATTGTTCTAACAAATGTAAAAATTCTGTCACATTTTGAATGATTTTTTTATTTTGATTCTTGTCTACATTGTTGATTTTTTATGCTAAATACCTAACAGCGTGCGGGTTCATAGTTAAAGTCGAATCATTTCTGACAAAACTTCAGATGTGGAAGGGAAATATTTGCTCTGGCACGATTTCCATGTTCAGTAATGTAAGAGATTTTCTGTGTCAAAGCCCCAGTTTAAGACCGCAAGGTTTTCGTGGAATTGGTCACCGAAAATCTCGTCAAGTTGAAAAAGGAAATTGACGGCTATTTTTCAAGTATTTTTGTTAATAATAGTTTTTAATAAATTTGGAGGGAATAACATGGGTTACCTAGAACATAGAAACCTATGGAAAATAAGTTGTGTATCAGAGCAAGCTTAGCAGCAAGAAATAAGAGAAAACACGAGCGATCTATAAATTGTCCAAAATGGCAAAATGTACATGTGAACAGAAAGTTTGGGAACTAAACTTGAGGTATTCGTTTATATTCTATTTCTTGTTAGATTGCCCTGAGTGAATCATCATAAGTACAACAGGGGAGCAATTATCAAATGGCGTCCCGAAATAAATTAAACCCATTAATTCGATAAGCAATTTTGTAGGTTTCATTTATTTTGGTAGACCCTGTATATGGACATCGGTATCGGTGAGGGATCATGAATCAGCGACCAAACGTGACGGAATAAAAGTTCACCGCGTATCCACAATGCTCCATCACTCTACTGATTGACTATAGTGTGACAGGCTTGAATTGCCGCGAGAGACGCAATGAAACGTGCAAAAGTATATCTGGGCTGGATGACTCAATTTCCGCCATTAGTACCGTAGTACCTGTTAGTAGATAGGAAAAAAACACAGAAATACCTCAAAATTCCCAACTTAACTACACTATTTTAAATCTAGAGTCTAGACCTGACATGGGCAAACTAGGGCCCGCGGGCCAAATCCGGCCCGTTGGGTAATTCAATCTGGCCCGCCTGATGCTGCCACAACCGAACTAGAACTAAAAATTGATGTTTTAGGTAAAAATAGTTCAAGGAATTTGATGAGATTCCGGTTAAATTTAATTTTGGCACGAGGCTTATTGTTTTCCACTTTTGCCTTTTAACACTGTAAAAAAAACATTGATAAATAAAATTATCTTTCCATTTTTTGAAATAAAAGAGGCCCACGATAAAAACATTCGAAATAGCAAATATGTAAAGATTCTTAGATTCGGCATTGCTTAGTTAAAGTAGTACAGCGACATATCTTTATTTTATTTTTTCATAAAATATCGGCATGATTAGTTTAAAACTGTTCCATGGGTTCTGTTTTAAGGCATATTCATTTATTCGACCGTATTCATTTTTTGAATCTTTTAAACGGTAAATACTGGAAAAGGAATCATTACTTACAGAAACATAAATTTTTTTATAAATGAGTAATAGTTTGAAATTGAATGTGGAGTCACAGTGACGTAACTACCCATTGGATCTTGTGGATAAATACAGGGGCGGCACGTTGCTGGAAGGCGGCAAAATGTGACAAAACGTTTTAAACGGAGCGGAAAACCGTTTTAAATGAACCAAGGCAGTCACATTGAACGACCTAATTTACCAATGAATCCAAAAAAATACACAAGATATACGTCTGAACCTGGTGTTTTAGGGCTCGTGGCCCCTTCCAGCGCCTATTTGCACTCGCGGTCTCCGTGTTCGCCATTCCAAAAAACGAAACGTGTTGGATTGTATTATGTGTTTACGACCTATTATGGAATGCAAAAGCAAACCACAGACAAGAAAGTAAACGCTCTCCAGTATACAATCAAAGGGAATCTTGAGCTTAGGACTGTCTGACGAGGTTTATCGTATTAGGCGCAGTCTTTTTCATAGCTAGTCAACATCAAGACGGTTTATAAATTTTGTTTTTGTGGTAAGAAAAATTGGCTTTTGCTCTGACAGAAACCCGAACTTAGTCAATGTAGGATTCTGTCAAATCTAATTCGCTTGGCAGCAAAGAAACCAATGCCAACGTCTTTCACTGGGGGTGATTTTTGTCGCGGTATTTTGGAGTTCAGATGGACGTAATGATTTATTGCTCATTACATACGAGCAATGCCAGCATTAATCAAATTCTCTGACATCTCAATTTACTTTGGTAAAGTCAACGTAACTGTTGTTGTTGTTGCTAGTACATCTTTCTGTGCTTGAAGGCCCAGGAACGCAGCTATTCATGTGTTCATCCAAAACGGTACTATAGATCAATTTTCGTAATTGCGTCTATAATACGCTAGCGAAGGCTATCTCGCAGTCGAGTGGAACTGCCATTCTGTAGGTTAGACCAATGACATTAAACAACATGATAGGCAACTCTGACGTCACTCCATAAGACTACAGGCAAAACATTGTATTTCATGATACGCTCCAATGCACATATTTCTCGTCGCCTTTCGCGTCCGTTTTCCGCTCGCTTTTGCTACTCGGCGTCTTTTTTACGTGTAGTAACTGCCTTTTTGCGTCTGTAACGAAACAAAATAATCTCTATATCTAAGAAGTTTTGCTTACTTGGAAAGCTGGAATAACAGGCACGCTGTAAAGAGCAATTCTGGACATCATAGACTTTTTTTTTTATCAGAGAAGATTACAAACGCGATAGCGGAAAGATTTGTGTGGAACATTTTGCAGATAATGACAAAGTTCAAAGTTAGTAATTTTAATGTTTGCGCTTAATCATTGAAATTTCATTTAAAGAGGGTGTCATACAAAACTGTGCTGCGATACAATTCCATAACACAAAGTTTGCACCTATCGAACTTGCTTTTGTAGGTGAATTTATTAGACATATTACATATTCAGTTAATCGTAGGTAACATTGCTGGTACATAATGCATCGTAGATAGGTTTGTTTAAATTTAGGAATTTAGCTCATAGCCCACTAATTAATATTATCTTCTATGCAGGAGGTTGCAGGGCTGAATTCAACTTGCAGCCTTACCGATCACCTGACGATGCTCATTTAGTTTGGCTCGAGCAATTCTTCTTGAAATGCTTGTGTGAATGGAAACTACCTATATTTTTTGCCTTCCTCCGATTTTAGACAAATTTATTCTGAGGGATTTCGCATTTAATTCTCAATGATTGTTGGCTGTTTATAATTCCTATTGATTGTGAATTCTGATTATAACAATGAGTTGAAAATTTTTTTACCTAATTTACTGGCACCTTTTTCTTGTCAATACTCCAAGCTGAGGTAATAAACATGACAATACATTTATGTCATCTGGAAGCAAAATATGCACACTAATTAATAGTTTGGCACATTGAGATAATACATCATGACAGAAAATACAAGTTAAAGATATGTATGACCATCACATGGTAATTAAAATTAATAAAAATTAATAAGGGGTTGTGGAGTATGGAAAGTTCAAGACAAAGAAAAGAACAAATGTTCATAGCTCATGAACTCTCAATTTTGCCTCCATTGCTTTGTGAAGGCCAATATATTTCGAGTGGCTGAATTGGTTTACCTTTATGATAGCAACGATTTTGTATTTAATATAGCGAGATTACTTCAATTTAATTGAAGTGATATAATTTCCCAAAGCAATGCTTGAATCGTCTAGAATAGATCAGTGGTGTCAAACTCATGGGTTTTCGAGAGCCGCATTGCATTTTGAAAATTGTAAAAAGAGCCGCAAACAGTTTTTGATAATGTATACTCAAAAGATATTTTTAAGATAGTTTTAGTTTGTGACATATATTGTGATGCAACTAAACAGTTGGATTAAGTTTTATTATTTTCTTCAATTTCAAATGCAATTACATATTAATATTTGCATTCCACTATTATTGCAACATTTGCAAGTTACAGTATTTATTATAAAAATCGTAAAATTCTATGTACAACCATCAAAATCATTTTTGAACAAGCTTTGAATAAGGAAAGAATAATACATACACTAAAATAACTTAATCTAAATATATGAACCTAAAATTAACAAAAATAACTACAGTATAAACTCAATGTTTTAATAATTACATTTGTCCTGGCGTTTGGCATCTTTTTTGTGTCACCAGCATACTAAGGCCAGTCTGAAATGATTTTATAGTACCAACTCTAACTAACGAGGCCACATGATCATGGGTTTATCTGGATCTTTACGAATGTTTAATTAATTCCAGTAATGCAAAAAAGTTACTTTTATCATTTCATGTATAGATCAGTAAAAAAACAAATGACAGATTTTTTCGACAAGACATTTCGCACTACATTGCGTGGCATAGGATTGCTTGAATTATTATTGATTTTTAGTAACTAAGTCGTTGTATAATTATATTAATATACAAACACATGGAAATTTTCTGTTCGAAGTTGGTCTTCGAATTTGTCATATTGACTGCTGAGCTTATTGTGTTTTTTGATTGTATTGATGGAAATATGACAA